TCTGTGCTTCAGTAGAGCAAAAGATGTCTGCCATAACAATTGCAAACCCACTCCCATGTAATTATAAATAGCAATTTTTAAGGCAAGGCAAATATAAAGATTGAGACTCTCAGTTCATAAGTGATAATAAATAATATACATATACATTATAAACACAATTTATGACAGTAAATCTCAGTGATTATTACACATCGTACCATTAAACAACAGGCATGATCAAATATAATGGTGGTACAAAGAGCATGAATGCACAAGATAGTGATACATTTGTGACATAACCTTTAGTCAGGAGATGGTGAACACTGAGTGGATCAGCAGTGTTGAAAGATCTCTGCTTTTATTTTCTCTCTTCAGGTAGCCATGTGAAAACTGTGGGAAAATAAACTCTTGTCTCTCAATAAATCACTCAAATTCAGTTCTTTCTCCCTGAGCAACATACTGTAGGAGATGTATTTGTACAAACTATTGGATTCTTCGAACATTATCAGAAAATCTCAAAGCATTATCTGATGTTGGTTTGTTTTATACATTCCCAAATCATAGATAGAGTTATGGTTCAGATCATTCTTTGTAAACAAACCTGTTACATCAGACATCCTCTTTTCCAAAGAAATGGCAGGTAAAAATGACTTAACTCTTAATGATAATTCAACTGTTTCATCTTGTACACATTACTAGGTAACATTCCTAAACATTTAAGGCTAGAGCAACCCTGAATCTTATCTCAGACAGCTGTAAAAACAAATCAGTCCACTTTTCAGAAAAACTGGTCAATTTTCAATAAATTATTTTTCCTATGTGAAGGTCGATAATCATGTTTTTTAAATAATTTCTTGAACCACTCCAGCTCCAGACTCAAATCAAAGAATGTAATCTTGCAGAGAAGTAGATGGAGGCCATCTAAACGTCATTTCCCAGGCGAGATATATTGTTCATTACCAGATGAGTCCATCAACATCTAGAAAGCTCATGAAAGACTGGGGATAAAAGAGGAAAGATATTTTCAGAGAGTTGGATAACTAGAAGGTGGCCACTACAACATAGATGATAAGCACTGGACATAAATAGGTAAGTCAGGTTTTATCTTTTAGCAGCTTTATCAGACAAACATCACATAGTGTTTTAGTAATGGCCTCTCTGAATATGAATGAGGCAGTGAGAGAGCAACTTCCTGAAAAGCTCTGTCTCCATAGGTTGGTGGTACCACCGACAACATTTGGCTCACAGACTCTACTTTCCAAAATGGAGATAGAGGATGGAAAAGGCCCAGAATGTATTTAGGGGTGTGGCCATGAATTGCTCTGAATGTTAAAACCAACATTTTTAAATTAATTCTCAGGCACTCAGATAACCATTGTAGTGAGACCAGAACAGAAGATATCTGAGCTCTTCTGTTAGATTTGTTAAAATCCTAACTGCAGCATTCGGTTTAGACTGTAGGGGAGCCAATGAGGAGTTTTTAGAAGTAAAAATATTAGACACTTTGATCTGTAACAACAAGGTTACTGTCACTCCCTTCCAACCTCCTACTTCACACCCTTATAGGGTTACACCCCTCTCTTTGAGAATCACTCATGTTGCCTAAAAAAAGCTTCAGTTTGTTCAGCTGCTAAGCATACCATAGCAACAGTGGCATGATACCTGACAAAATGTGTGTCACAATCTTAATACTAACTCTAAACACTCTGCTGTTTTCAGGTAATCCCTGTTTCTAGTAACAAATTACCAGAGATTTCACAATTACAGTTGTACTTTTTAAGTGTTTTTCTTTTTCACAGTTGAATTACTTGATGCAAATACATATTGTTTTGTTCTTCCACAGGATCTTCTCTCAGTAATCAAGTCCGCCAGACTCCACTTTACATCCAGGCAAATCCAGGAAACTCAGCCAATATCAACTGCTCTCACAGCATTCAGAACTACAACGTTATGCTTTGGTACAAGAGATCAGAGGACAGGCAGCTCCAGCTTCTAGGTTATAGGTATTTGGGCAGCAGTACCTATGAATCTGGAGCGAAAGTGGAGATTGAAGGGAGTGCAGACAAAGACAAGAACTGCACTCTGACAATAAAGGAGCTCAGTGTGAGCAGCAGTGCTGTTTACTTCTGTGCTGCTAGCTACCACAGTGATGCATATCACTGCTCCTCAGTGCAAAAACCTCAACCTTCACTGAAAACCTATATATAGGAATAGCTATGGAAATTTGTATGAAGACTTTTTGACAGGTTTAAAATTTAAGTCTACAAACTGTGGTTAAAAGCCTTCAGCTGATCCAAAATGTTGCAGCCAGAGTTATGATGAAAATTAAAAAGAGAGATCATATCTCTCCTGTTCTGGCTCTTCTTCGTTGGCATTCTGTTAAATCCAGAATAGAATTTAAAATCCTCCTTCTCACATATAAAGCCTTAAATGGCCAAACTCCATCTTATATCAGGATATAATTGTTCCTTATGTTCCTAAAAGAGCACTTCACTCTCAATCTGCAGGTTTACTAGTGGTTCATGGAATTTCTAAATGGAGAATGGGAGGCAGATATTTTAGTTATCAGGCTCCTCTCCTGTGGAACCAACTACCAGTTTTAGTCCATGAGCCAGACACCCTGTCTACTTTTAAGGCTAGACTTAAAACTTTCCTTTTTGATAAATCTTATAGTTAGAATTTCTCAGGTTATCTTGAGCTATCTCTATAGTTATGCTGCTATAGGCTTAGACTGCTTGAGGACAGAGGGTCCGTTTTCCATCATTCTATCTCTATTCTCCTATCCTGCAGTATTTGTTATTTCAATCTCTAACGCTATGCTCTCTGCTTTTTCTCACTGTAGCTTCATAAATCAGTCATAATCTAGCTGTCTTTATCCAAGCTGGGTCAGATCCTGATGTTTGCAGGGAAAGGATGCAGGGAAAGTTTCTTGCGCTCCGAGGAGCCACTGCGCATGTATTACGAGAGGTCCGAGAGACTTTTTGCACCCTTGGGCGGAAATACATCACCAATCTGACAAAAAATGGAATTACGCTTTAGTAGTCATTAAAGATTAAACATTTATCTTTCACATCTAAAAACATATATATAGATATATTTCGAGGTATTTTACAAGTTTTTTTTTTTTTTTTATGTCTTAATCAATGTCATCGGGTGTGGGGAGATGCCCTAGCGCCCTCTATTGGCAAGCCGCCACTGGGTAGTTGACTGAACCATACAGGCCATAACAGACTCTTGTTTATGAGACTTGCATCATTCCTTACTGTGAGATATTTAATCACACTGTGGGCAAGCTGCTGCAGTTTTTATTTTTTAAAAATGTGATTCAAAAAGAAACTGCTTCTCTTAGGAAGCTCTGTGAGGAAAATGTGATCTCCTCTGTATAACCGTAGGTACATAACCAACCTTACAAAATGAGTCAAAGTGTTGTTATTTTTTTGTTTCTTAATAGATTAAAACACGCTTTAAAATCTCAAGCTTTTGTTAACACAGTCATGAGCTATATAAACCAAATATAAATATAAAACAGAAAGCTTTCACAAAACCCTTAAAAGAACCAGTATAAGTCAAGGTGAGTCAAGTTCTTATAAAAATAAAAACAAGTCCTCATAAAATCAGGGCCCATAAAGTCTATTACCTAGGAAAAATCTTTTTTTTACACCACACAAAATTTTTAGCTGTTCTCCAAATCAAGTATCTTTATCACCTGTAGAAAAAAACACATAGCATTTTAATTATCATATCATATACAGCTCCCCATAGGTTCATACTCTGAAATTTATTTTTTAATGCCAATAAAAATACTAAGCCAAAGCTTAGTATTTTAAACCCTCCAAACATCCTTCTTTATGTCACTGTGGCTCCGCCCACCTACTGATTGATCTTCTTGTCTTATTGTAGGTTTCACTGAGAGGAGAGGTTCAAAATAACTGCTAAAACTCATAGTACTAGCAATATAAATAACAAAATCCCATAAAAAACATGAATGTCTTCCTGTTAATGCTTGCTTTTAACACTGCGTTGGTTTCAGGTAATCAGACTTTAAAGTTTTTTCAAATCCCTGTCATTTACTCTGATGGTAAATTCATTTATCTTAACATGTGTAACCATTAGATTTAAACCAAATCTCTGTTTTCTTTTCTACAGGCTCTTCTCTCAGCGATCAAGTCTACCAGACTCCATTTTATATAGCAGCAAACCCAGGACAGAATGCCAGTATCAACTGCTCCCATAGCATTAGGAGCTACAATCGAATTTTCTGGTATAAGAAATCAGAGCACAGGCAGCTGCAATTTCTGGGCTACACTTATCAGACCACCAGCAATGCTGAACTCGGAGTCAATGTGTCAATCAAAGGGAATGCAGCTGAAGGAGATATCAGTACTTTGACTATTAAAGAGCTCACTGTAAGCAGCAGTGCAGTTTACTTCTGTGCTGCTAGCTACCACAGTGCTGCACAGTACCGGTGCTCAGTACGAAAACCTCCTCATTGTTGTGTTGTTCCTCTGCTTACGTGCTCTGTATTTGTATTGTTTGCTTTGGTATGCAAACAGGTATTTAAAAAAAAATACAGCTACATCAGCTGTGATGTTGGTAAACTTAGTTAACTATTTTAGAAATGTTCAAGTTAGACAAAAAGAAAAACAGCAGCCAGTTTATAGGAAGATGAAATAGCTGTGTGGGGGAAAAAAAGCCTTTACACTCTTAATAAACCGTGCAAATATTCTATAAAATGTGTGCAAAGAAAGCATTAATGTCCGAAAGTGCACATTAACCCGCTAAAAAACTATGAAACAAACAGCATAGTTGTAAACACACTGAATGGGCCTTGTAGCGACTTCGATCCACCAACAGAGTTATCTTTTGCTCTTACAGGCCTGTTGGGAGCAGTGAAAATTATAAAATCTAACAGCAGCTGAAAAGAAGGATCTACAAGAGTGCTTTTTTATGCACCTAGGGTGAAACAGCCTTTACAGAAGTTTAGCTCTGAAGCAATTCATGCATTGGATGGAGGACACTGTCAAAATGTATCCCACCACCTGAACTGTTTGATTATTATCAAGCATTTTATATTTGATAATTACATCGACAGGTTTATTTACAATAACAATTTCTGTGACATTTTAGATAAGTATTTGTCACTTTGCCTAACAGGTAGTTACTTTAATAGTGCAGTAACTTAATTGTAAACAGTTCCTTTTCAGGAGAACTAACTTGCTTCTATTCTCAGTACTTTACACTTTTATAGGGATATTAAATGTCTGAGTTTTTTCAGTTTTTTGCCAGTAGGTGGTGGCCTATCTTAACCTGACAACAGCCAGATGCATGTCTCGCTCCGCCCAGCTCCACTCACATACGTATGTGAGCGGAGCTAGGCGGAGTGAGACATGCATCTGGCTGTTGTCAGGTTAGGCCTATCTCCCACTGTGAAAATAAAGAAGAGCATTCTGACGTAATCCTCCCTGTGTACCTTTTCTCTGTTCCTTGCAGATGAGGTTTCTCATATTCAAGACGTAAAAGTGCTTCAAGATATCACTTTATGATTTGCAGAGAGTTTATGATAAGATGATTATTTTCTTTTACATAAGTTTCAATTTTTTTCTTCTCTAAGGTAAAGTATAAAAAATGCTTTGGACCTTTTTGCATTTAATCCCACACTTTTAAGTTCTTTAATATAGTTTTGCCATAACTTCACCCATCCCTATCTTTATAGGTTCCTCTCCAGTTGGCCAGTTTAACCAGGTTCCTGAACATGTCCTAAAAGACGGGAGCAGGAGCCATCATAAAATGCTCCCACATTATCCCATTCTATGATCGGATCTTGTGGTACAAACAGACTAAACAGGGACAGCTGGAGTTCCTGGGATACACGTATATTAGCCTGGCTTATATTTGAAGCTGGACTGGCTGTGAAAACTGGGTGGAAATGCAGATAAAAACCAGACCTGCACTTTAACCCTTGACGTTCTCACCCCTAACAGCAGTGCAGTTTACTTCTGTGCTGCCAGCTTCACAGTGATCAATATCACTGCTCCTCAGTACAGGAACCATCATCTGTATTTTCCTCCCCTTTTTGTGGCTCACACAGCTTTGCACCTAAAAAGGTTATTAAAGTCAAGAATGCATTTTTTTTCTCTCTAAAAGGGGAGGATCTGTGAAGCAACACATAACTTATCCTCCCTCAGATATATAAATCATATGAAAAGCCTCTAATAAATAATCTAACATTTTGGAGCCAGAAAAAATGTTGGACGTCTACATCCTTTTTCTGCTCTCGTCATTGAGGATTCAAGGTATATAAAAATATTTCATTTTAGTATAAGATTTGTGAATTTCAACAGTTAAATAAATTATATTTCCAGCTCAAAAAGTAGATTGAAAAATATGCCTGGATGGAGCAGCACTTCTGCTGAATCTATCAAAATTACAGTTACTTCTTACATTTTGAGCTTTTATGATATATATACATTTTCTTCTCCTTACAGTTTTCTGTCAGGACGTCATCCAGAATCCTACGATCAGCTGGAGTTTACGGTCCGGATCTGCTGATATTAATTGCAGCCACAAGAAAGATATTTCTCATACCCAAATGTACTGGTACCGGCAGCGTCCAGGGGAGACCATGACCCTCATTGTGTACACAGTATATGGTGGGCAGCAGGACTATGGAGACAACCTTCAGACCAAATACCCAGCAGTTAAAGACAACATAGAGACTGGCGCTCTGACTGTGAATGATTTACAGCCTGATGACAGTGGTGTTTATTTCTGTGCTGTCAGCAAATACAGTGATGTAATTAGATCTAACAGCCGAACAAAAACTGACAATAAACTGCATTAATCAAAACCCACATCTGCACTTCCATTGCTTTCCACTAGGGGGAGTTAGGAATTAAGAAATTATTCCATATTTAACATTTTTGTTAAATCCCTTTTCCACAATCCACCTGTTCAAGTGTATTGGAGCAACAGTGATGACATCTTGGCTGCTTATCAAACTGCCTTTGTTTGGATTTAGCTTAAAAACTGAAATTTTGATTGATGAAAAAAATTTATTTATACAGATTACAAATTTCACACAACAGGCAGTGTTATGCAGCAGACATGAACCAGTTTTTCATTCTTATGATTTAACAATCTTAATTAGGAATAGACCAGTTCTATTCAACAGCTAGAAATTAATAAACTGAAATAAAAGTAAGTTAAACTGTCCTGCAAGAAATGTATTTCCCATTAATTTAAGCAGGTATGTGAGATAATTCGGCAATGGAATTTCATCACTTAAAATTAAAATGAGCTAAAAAAAAAACTTATTTCAAGTGCATAATACCAAAATACTTATTCCATATGCAGATCATTTTACCTGCTCAATTTAAGGGCACATTTTTACATATTTAAATAAGTTTAAAATTTATTTTCAGATTAGTTTTTGCAGTGTATTTACCCACATTTGAAAATAAAGTAATACATGATTATATTGTTTTTATTTCCACTAAACAGTCATTCCTTGTACATCTAAAATATAACTTAGTTGTTTTGAATAGTGATTCAGTTTGAATAGATAACAGAATAACCTTTTCAAACTTCGCTTTTTATGAACCAAATGATCAGACGATATTAGCAAGTTGATATTTGTTGACCTTGAATGAACGGCTTTTAGGCTAACCAAAGGCTTTTCTCTCTTAGAGGGAGAGTTTAGATTTTTTGAAAGGGAGGTTAAGTGATAGTACACGTACTTATAGTTTGCATTTTGATTGATCAGGTGGATTACTGTTTGGGATTACCTTAACTATTTGCTTAATAAATGGTAACATTTCTGTTGATAAGCAGCCAAGCTTTCACAGGATCAGCCTGCATCAATCTACAGCTAAATGTGGTATTGTACAAAAAGCAGAAAAAAACAAAAATAAATGTTTTCTCAAATTGATCAGCATTGTGATATGGGTAGTAATTGCACCTGACTTCAGTTTAGCACAATAAGAAAGGTGTTCGGCTAAAAAGAGATTCAAACATATTTGTGATTAAAAAAATGGCAAATCTAGTCTGCCAAAGTTGTGCATCCCAGAGTAAAGGAGATCTTTTCATTTGCTTTAAACTGAATAAATAATCATCTTTACAGGAATTTGGTTCAGACAAACAAACTTTTCATGTGACATCTTGTGAAAATCACTAAAAGTAAATATAATGCAACAGCCAAAACTAATAAACTTAGAAAGTATAATTCAATGAGTTTCAAAATAAGATAAAAAGTTTCATATATAGGAACTAATTACAGTATAAAGTGGGGCTCAGAAACTCGATTTTAGATCATCCTAATACATAAGACATTGTCTCTGTGTATAAACGCTAACTTTAACGACATTTTAAGATAAAGTCTTGTTCCTCTTTGCAGTTTGCTGAACTTAGACAAAAAGCTTTGACTTCATCTATAAGGAAGGTTTGTGTTTATTCGTCACTTCCTTTTCCTCTTGAGGTTTTAGTTAAATCCACAACACAATCAGGTGCTCATTACATGTTGTTTCACTTGGATATCAGAAAATTTTATCTGGTAAAAAATAATAAAAATAACAATCCAAATTGATTTAAAGGTGGATTCTCAGCTAATGCTTATAGTTAGCAGAAGTACAATGAATCCCATCTTCATCCTTCTATGCCTGGCAGGTAAAAACATATTAAAATACAACCAACTTTAATATTTTTTTTTTCCAACAATACTAACCAAAACTAATTTGTAGGTGTTGCTTCGGCCTTCGAGGTCCATCGTTCTCACTCTGATCTCATCGTAAATACTAACGCCAGAGTGGAGATTTTCTGTACACATGATAAAACTGACTACAGGCTAATGCTGTGGTACCAGCGCCCACCTGGAGACACAGCTATGGACCTCATTGGATTTTTATATTTCAAGGACAAAACCATGGAGAAGACCTACGAGAAGGAGTTCAACATCTCTGGAGATCTGAGTGTGAATACATTAAAAAACTCCTCACTTGTAATCTCTTCTGCAGAGGAGAAGCACAGTGCATTCTACTTCTGTGCAGCAGGCAAAGCACAATGACAAAAAATCCCTCTGATCTTCACAAAAACTATTAAATGTTTTCATCATCCGTGGTTTCCAGTCAGTCTTGCAGTCAGCTTTATTGTGGTTTATATGTGAATGTATTTTTTTTTTTACCAAACAGTAAAAATTACCAGTCTTTGATTTATTTAGCTTAATGTTATCAGTCTCATCAAACTCTGCATCTCAGCAGATATTTTCTTTTTACTGCTTTTAGTGCCCCCTAGTGCATGAAGGAAGCAGGATGCCTACTGATTTGTGCTTCAGAACCGAACCTAAACAGTAACATTTATGTGAACATTTATATAGTTATATATAGTACAACACAAACCTCAATTTATTTTTCTTTATTTTAATGGGGAATTTTTATGATAGACAAACAAAATGTATCCCAGAATCATGCAGTGAAAGTATAATCTTATATAAGTCTTCATATTCTTATACATAAAAATCTAAAAAGTATGGTTTATATTTGAACTGTGCAAAACTAATGTTTGGAGCAAAAACAGTGACAATTCTTTTGGAATAAGTTTCAGCTGCTTTGCCTATCTGAAGTCTGAATTTCTTTGGAAAAACATCAGCATCAGCATTTTCATTGGCTTTTGGTCTGGGCTTTGACTTAATTTAGTTTAAGCTAAACCAACCCACTGTAGCTCTGGGTGTAGTGTAAATGTTGTGGTCCTGTTAGAAGTGAACCTCTGCCTTAGTATCAAGTTTATTGAAATCTCTAAAAATCTCTTGTTCCTACAGGGGGAAAAAAGCTAGAACAAAGCATGATGCAGCCACTACTTTGTTTTACCAGAGAGCTGGTCAGAGTGATAAGACCGTGCATTCTCATTTCTCTTCCATGTAGGCTTTATATAATTAGATACCTAAAGGTTAGGGTTTTTTTTTTGTCTGTTAGTAAAGCTATTAAAAAAGAGGGATATTGATGTGCACAACTTAAATTTTAGAAAAAGACAGGATTTGATGGGTGGATGGCTCTTAGTTAAAGCAAAAAAATCACCACAATCGGTTTCTTTAAATTTTTTTAATTTCTTGTCCTTATTGAACTGATAAGAAACAACCATTTTTTTCTGCTGTCAAAATCATTTTCAAATATTTAAGTGTTGCTGGAGATGCTACCTCTACCAGCACTATCTGTCTGCATATCAGTCTGTCCCTCTGTCCATTCAACATTCAGAAAAAAATTTTAATGTATTTGTCATATTATTTATATGTTCTCTTTGTTTTTAAGCATGCAGAGGGTAAAATGTCACTTTCCCTCTAGGAAATAACCCCATAAAGTCTCTATAGTAATGCTGCTATATGCATACAGTAAGCTGCTGGAGTACATAGGGACCAATTGTTATTAATCTGCTTCACTTCTGATTCTACTTCATCTTTCCAGTTCTGTATTACTTGTTGCTTCCCCCCTAATTTTATGGTCTGTTTTCCTAATGTCTGTGGCTTTTTGTGGCCTGGAGCTCTGTTTAGCTGTGACACCGTCTTCGAGGAAGATGTCAACTGGGCTGCTGCCATTAACAGCTTTTGTTATATGTGATAGAGATGGGCTTCTTTTTCAGTGTTTAGTCCTGCTTTTCTCCTAGACAAAGCTTTGGGGTCCTCTTTTTTGCTCTGCATTATCTCTTTTCATTTAAAAACAGGCTCAAAGCTCATCTGCTTAAATGTATTTTGACAGAGCCACCTAGTTTACTATTACCTTATGTAACATTAAAAGTATTTTTGGATCAGTGCTTTCATGTATCTTTTGTATTTATGCTTGTCTCCTTGAACCCCTAGTTGGTCTTGGCAGAAAACTGCTCACACTGAGCCTGGTTCTGCTGGATGCTTCTTCCTGGTAAAGGGAGTTTTTCCGCTCTGCTGTTGCTGCTTGCATCCTCGGTGTAAGGGATTGCTGTAGAGTGAATGACAGAATGCAAGCAAATACTGTCACCACATACTCATCCAGGAAGAGCAAGTCCTGCAAAGTGAATGTCTTAATGCAAGCAACTGCGTTTTCTTAGTTAGGAAACTTTAAATCAATCTTACTGTATGAATTGTTTCTGTGAAGTGCCATGACATGGCGTGTGTTGGGAATCAGCACTAAATTAACGGAATTGAAATAAATAAAATTAGTAGAGGGTTTGTTTAATTGTCGTTCATATATATCTAGTGGCTGTTAAAACATGCTATTTTTGTCAACTGTTATTTTTTTATACATTATACTTTGACATCCCTTTAAGCATAGAATTTAGTCTACAGTTTGAGTTAAGTAGTGTGTTAATAAGTGTCCAGTTTATTTGATTAAAGGGGATATAAAAGGTTTTTATGGGACATCGAATTAAAGAAATATCAGTTTTCCAGCAATCAAGATACTTTATTTATGGAAAACAGAAGACTCATATGCACTCATGGTTATTACATTTCTTTGCTGTTGATTAAAAAAAAAAAAAAAAGAGAAAGAAGCAGCTTTCAGCTTGTTTCTTCTTCTGCCACGTGACTCTGACATCATTTCCTTGTTTGTCTGCTTGTCTTTTGTGTGCACTCTGCTCCTCAACTTCATCATTATCAAAAGAAATTTTGCATCATAGAATCAAAATGTTGTCCATTTTATTTTTTTGTTACCTTACAGGTTATTTGAATTATTAATCTTTTTAATCAGAATGTATTCTATTTAACTGTTTATTTTAATAATCTTTTATTTCTGTAGGTTTTTCTCTGGGGATTGACATCCATCAGTTTCCTTCTAATGTCATCAGCAAAACGGGGTCTGAAGTTGTGCTTTTCTGCTCACACGAACAGGCCAGTCACAGAGTCATACTGTGGTACCAGAAGTCTCCTGGAGACGAGGATCTGAAACTCATCGGATATGGATATGGACAGTTCAATAACGACAGCGTGGAAGAAACGTTTAAGAAACATTTTAGATTAGATGGAGATTTACAGTCAGCCAAGAAAAACCTCTCCCTTTCTATAGTTGGTCTGAAGGTTGAACACACGGCGACATACTACTGTGCAACAAGGGAAGCACACTGTGACAAACATCCACCAGCCCTGAACAAAAACCTCCACCTATAGCACCATCTTATCTACTCCTTGAATCTAGGTTAAAGACAGAGACTGCAAACTGCTGGAAAGTCTTCACTTGGTTATCATCCAGCAACAGTGTCCAGTAGTTGTCAGTGTTGTAAAGGATTTAGTAGATCTACAATCTAGAGCATCAGCCAGAAGTACCTATACCCCTTTATCATATTGAATCTTGTTTTTTTGTTTGTTTGTTTTTTGGTTGTAATTTTAACACTATAAAATTATTATATATTATTATATATTATTATTATAAAATTAGGATTTGATATAAGACACTGTTAGCTGAATTCATAAACTCAGGACAAGAGATAAAGTCTGACTTGACCAAGCAGGATGAGTTCATCCTGGCTCTATTTTTTTTTTTTTTTTAAGATATGAGTAGTGTACCTAAAAACCTTACACAAATAACAGTAGCACTGCCTTAAGATCTTCTTACCCAAGTAAAAGTAGTAAGTATTCACCCAAGGGTAAAATAGTACTTGGTAAAGTACTGCTCAATTACTGATTCTTTGTTGGCTTGTAACTGATTTGATGTTTAAACTTATACTATCAGTCAGAGGGCTATGAGAAAAAACAATGAATGAAAGAATTGCAAAATTACAAATTTGGGCAGAAAATAAAATTATAAATGAAAGTTTTCAGTTTAAGCTCATAAAATAATTCCTTGCAGTAGGTAATGCAGATAAGTCAGAAAAGGAGAAAGAACATCCAGGAAAAGTATCTTCTTTTTCAAGGTACTGGTTGTGAGTGGAGAAATCAGAAATGTTACACAAGTAAGAATTGTGATAAAAATATTAGTTCTGTAAAAGTAAAACGTTAAGGTCAGCTACTCCAAAATGTTTTAAGAAGTTACACGTGTAAATGCAACAAATGTTTAAATGTAAATTAAACAAAGTTTTAGAAAGGATTCATGCGTGGAAGTTCTTGAATGAGCCAGGCCTCTCTGGCTGCTTGTTGCTGACCATGCAGTCATCACAGATTATTTTAAGCAGTAAGATGTGTTCAGAGAATGTAATTTACATAATAAATTTAAGATTTTGTTTTTAGTTTTTAGGTCTAACCATAACTCAGTCTCTTACCTGATCGTTGGGAATTCTTTTTTTAATCTCCATGTGCTCCAGAGGGTAGTTTTCTTCTTAATGTGTGCACAGTCACACTGTCACTGGATAATCCTGTTTAAAGGGGAAAAAAAGGCTCTTTACCTGTTCTTAAATGCCTTTTGTGATGTGTAGCCTACTTTATGTTAGGTGCAATATTTTAAAGTCCCTCTTCAGTTCTAGTTATTTACCATGTGTTCTGGGAGAAGTTAAGAACATGTACTTATATCCCCAGAAAAATGGTAACACTTATTTGTCTTGAAAAATGCAAATATGGGCAAAGTATTAGTATGAAGGAAACATGTGTTTGAAGGTATTTTAAGGCCTGACACAGATCTTTCTTTAATCCTTTCTATACAGCAACTTTCTTTCTGTCAAATTTAGAAAGACAAAGTCCAAATAGGAAATTCAATGTGAATATGTCAACGTAGGGGGTGAGGTTGCTTGAGGACCCAAATGCAGAGATGAGTTTCTGTTGATTTAATGAAACACAAAATTACAGAGAACCAAAAAAAAACAGCAAACATCAGGGAAACTCACATGGGGAGCCAGAGACAAGGAAGCAACAAACAACAAGGAACCAGCACTGAATAACTGCACATGGAGAGTATATATGTGAGACAGAACAAACACTGGGGTATTAATCTGATATGGAGCAGGTGTGGATGGAAGAGAATAGAAGGAAGCCAGGGGAAAGGAGAAAGCCACAAGGGGGCAACAGAGAGTAACTTAAGACTGCTTGAATATATTGCAAAATAAACCAAAGATCAACAAAACAGAATATCTGATAGTTAAAAAAGTCCCAAAAGGGGAGAACCATAACCGAATAATGGTATAGTCTACCATAATAATCTTAAAATATTTAAAGCACTCGACTAAGTACCACTTACTATTTGTGTTATTCAATGGTTTATAAAAAAATACCAAAGCTTGCAGATATGAAAATGTTTGGGTAGCTAGTATATAATGCATTATTTACAATAAATAAAGAGTGAACAAAACATTATTTTAACAAAACCCTATTAAAACCTAATAGAACTTTGATATCAGCAGAATAACTATTCTAAAATAAAGTTGAAAAACATAATGTAGACCCCTGGTTAACCCTAGCTAAAACAGTGATCTATTAAAATGCTATGAAGACAACAGATATCTGATTACCTTTTTGATAGAGAGAATACCAAGGTGAAGCCTTCTTAATTGATTGAAAACAGAGGGATACATTCATACAGTCCAAGTGAAGAAAGAAATAAAACAACTGAAAGCCGAGCTGTTGTATTTGTATTTGCCTGTCCTGTGTACTTTTTATTTACGTAAACTATTTTTATTAGTGGAACAATGTTAAACCATAAGCAAATAAGGAAAAAGTTTGAAGTGGGGGGAAACTCTAACGATGCTCTAAAATGAACAAGCCTGACTTGTAAAGCATCCCCACAGCATGATTCTGGCATCAAATTTTAGGACAGAGATGGTGTTTTTTTAGGAGATGACCGCTGTCCTTTTACTTCCTTTTACTTTAGTTTTCTTCAGATATTTTACCTGGCTGTGCTTTAAACCTTTCCACAACGTAACCCTGTTTGCTGTGTTCATTGCTCACCTTGATGCTGTTTGTTTAACAAACAGAAAGATTAAATCAATGCACTAAAAAAGATGACTCCTGACAGCACTTTGGATTACATTTGGAACAATCATATTATGGGTAGTCTAAATATATTGTCAACATATGTTACATCACTGGTTTCATGTGTAGGCAACATGTCATCTAGTGCCACTGGTTTCTCATTTACATAGCATGCTTTGCCATTGCTTCACCCAGTGGATGTATCATGTCATGCCTAGAGATACACATATACAGTACACAGCATCTAGTCTCATTGGTTTTCCATTAACATAGCACATTAATGCTGTTACTTTCACATCATGAAAAAGGGATCTAGTCCATCTGGTTTCATGTTAACATATCAGATTATGCTATTGCTTTCACATGGATATTCCGTATTATCCCAATATATTCACACAAACATACAGCAGCATCTGGTCTAATTAGTTTTCCATTAACTTAGCAGGTAATGCCATTGGTTCACATGGACATATTATTTTATGCCATTGTTTCCACATGGAAAAGGGGATCTAGTCCCATTGGTTTCACATAAACAAAGACTCTTATACAACTGAATTAACATGGACATAGCATGTTATGCCAATGGTTTTACATATACATATCATTGTCATGATCTTGTCGCTAATGACTGGCTTGATTACTCATTTCATTCTCCTGCCTAGCTTCACCTCGTTTCTCATTACCTCTCATCTGTTCCACCTGCTCTAGCCTCTATTTAACCAACCCTCTAATCAATCATCAGTTCCAGATTATTCTCGAGCCTTGGGAGAGAGTTCTCTAGCGTACCTATTTGTGTTCTTATAGCCTGATCCTGACCCATTCTGCCTTTGAACCTCTGAGCCTTCCTGTTCCTGTTCTGATCTGTTTGCCCTACCTGTCTTTGGACTGGCTGGATTCTGCCTGTTGACTGAACTGGGAAGTGTTTCCTGATACTGATCTGGATTTCCCTTCTGTACCTCTTCAGGTCTCTGATCTTCTGGCTTGGACTCTGGACTGGACTTGGACTTGGACTGGGAACCTCTTTGACACCAGCCTTCGCCTCGCAATCTAGATAGTCGTGCCTTTCTTCGTCAGGTGGATCAGTTTGTCATCTTTATTTTCATGAAAAAAAAAATTCAGATGGATTAAGCATGTAATACCATTGTTTTCTCATGGAAATAGCCTCTAGTCCCACAAATATCACATTGAAAAAGCATGTGCTTACATTGTTTTCATAGGTCAATACCATCTAGTATCAGCAATTTCACATAGACATGGCCTGCTATGGCACTGGTTTCACATGGACATTGAATCTAGTCCCATTTGCTTAACATTAGAATAGGCTCAGTCTCATTGGTTTCACAATGATATAACATTTATCATCATGTCATATCTCATTTGTTTTGTCTGTTATGTCAACCAACTCATGTAAATATCATCTAATGACTTTTGTTTTCTTTAAATTAGCTTTTGTTGGGGTTTCAAATGGTAGAATCTGAAAAATCAAGACGCCTTCAGTTGATTATTTCATTTGCCCACAGGACAGGGGAAAAGCGTTTATTTTTACAGATCAGATTCACATGCTGTCTTCAGTAAACCATTACAGCGCTTCACATCACAACAGACAATCTCAGCTTTTTCCCAACTCTCATTCCATTTCAGGCTGTTTTTTAGTCTCAATATTCTCAATATAATCTCAACACCTTCCATCATCTGCACCAGACTGTAGAGGAGCTGAGCAGCTCCTTTAGTGAAACACTTTTACACCTTGTCTGTAAAAAGGAACACTACCGCATGTCATTCATCCCTGCCGCCACCAGACTCTAAGATGCAACACTACAACAGCAATAACTTGTGCAATGTATAATGCGCAATTTTACTCTTTGATACCCTGTGCAATAACCTGATTCTCTAAGTTTAACACCCAGTGCAATAACTATTTATATAAATATAAATATCCCTCTTTATAAATACGCATGTAAACATCCTGTGCAAAAACAGCTGTCATATGGGGATGCACTGTATATACTGTATTTATCCCATGTGCCTTTTTCTTTCTTTGGCTCCTTCTTCTCCTTTGACTATTTGAGCTGATGTAACAAGTACATTTTTCCACTGTGAGATCAATAAAGTCAATCAATCAATCAACACCCTCTTGTGCAACTTGTTTTACTTTGATATACCATGTAGTACCATTAGTTTCAAATGGACATAGCATCTAGCTCAATTGGTTTCACATGTACGTACCACCTAGTTTCTTTGGATTCCCATGGACCAGTCCAGTCACACCTGTTTCACATGTTTATATCGTCTAGTCCTATTTTTTTCATATGGACATAGTGTCTATTCCCACTAGTTTTAGCCCCATTGGGTTTCACATAGATAAACCATCTAGTCCTACTGGTTTCACATGGAGCCTATCTGTGGCAGATTTAAGGATTGCAGTCTCATGCTGTCAGTACATTTCATTGAAGGACAAAAATAATATACACAGGCATTACATGCAATTAAATGTTACCTGGGAATTTTCAAAAGATTTTCTACTTAGAATTGCATCTAACCAAATGAGTTTTGCCTGAACATTAGCATGCAATCCCATGGGTTTCCACATGGGCATCACATTAGAGAATGAGAGGAAAATATTTAGCATTCTGTATCGCAAGGTGATCATGTGACTGTGGTTTGTTCTGTTAAAGAGAGACACAGCTTCATCACATTCTTCATTCAGCTGAAGCAAGACCACCACTGACATGTTTGCAAGTGTCAGTTATTTTTTACTTTTGATACACTCAGGTAGCTGATTTATGAGAAATTCACCAATGTGAATACTTGAGATCTAATATTGTGATTTCTTTTTACATTATTTTACTCTGGTTTATATTATTAAGAAAAACATTGTAACTTTATATTTTATGTCCTACAGGTTTCTCTGTAGTAGTTCTTCAGTCTGAAGATCTAATATCTCCTCCAGCAGTCGATGTGACACTGAAGTGCAAAATGGGAGAAGGGTACAGCATGAGCAGCCAAACCATGCTTTGGTACCGACAAAAGGGCCATGGAGCACAAATGGAGTTTATCCTTAAAGAATACGAAGAATCTGTTGGAAATTATCGCTCTTCGCTTGAAACTTCAAAAAATTTGTTTTCTCTTCAAATCCTGAAGTTGTCTGTGAACGACAGCAGCATCTATTACTGTGCTGCCAGTCACAGTGATGCATACTGATCTAACAGTCTTACAAATAACCAGACCTTCTGTTGCACTCAGGCAGGAAGGAGCTGTGGCTTTTTTGGTATTAAAGCATCTCAACAAATTGTTTAAAACATTGTTTATCATATATTTCCCATCAAAGGGAATTAAACTACAGTTTTACATGGATTATAGATATTTATATTAACAAAAGGGAGTATTTTGGTTGGTGTATTAAAGAAGACATCTTCTACAGCAATAGATGACTTTTTAAGTCATCTATTAATGCCTTTTTATTAAAGGCATTAATAAAAATATGCCTTTTTTGTTCAGTTTATGATACACACGTATTTGCCATCAGTATATACCTATCTAGGAGAATCCAAATCTTTATGAGAAAATGAAGCAAATTGCTCTCAAAAGCAACATAAAACAAGGGAAATAATTTTAACACATATTTGCATATTCAACAACAAATTTTAAAATATGATATAAAATATACTTATCTAGATTTAAGATCATGAAATTTCATTTGAAAAATGAGTGATATTGTTGGGCCTAATCTATGTCTATAAACATAAACCTATACAATTAAATAATGTGAGGGAAACTCAGAAAGAAAATTAGAGTAGCATTAGATAAAGATTTAACATCATTAAATGGATGGATGGATCTCTTCCTCTTCTTTCTTGAGATCTTTTGCATAATTTTGTGTATAGAAATGTTGTCGGGGTATGTTAAAATATTAGAGTTGCCAGTTTCTTGAGAAACAAGACCAAGATTAAAGTTAAAATCCTTCAACACTATAGCAGACTTTAGGATAAACATCAAAGCAGACCACTGATCAGCTAATTTAAATTTAAAACGAGTTGAAATTAAACATAGGATTTTAAGTAGAATATAAACCAAGATCAAAAGGTTATTTGCAGCAGGTACGATTTTACCAAAAACTCTCTTCAAAGTCATAGTATGGCATTAATAAAATACTTGAAAATGTTTTTTAACAAACCAATACATTCATGTTTTGTTTGTTTTGTTGTTGTTTTTTTGTCTCATCAACTTTTTTAACTTAACCTAACATCAGGAAATGTTAGTACTATCCCTTTAAGTCTGCTTGCCTCTAGGAGACTGCAGCCATAGAGAGAAGCTCATTCATGACTCCTGTCAGAAAAGAGGAGGAGGGTCAGATATTTTTTTTGCTGCATTGTTTACAGCCGCACGAGTTAAAAACGCAGATTCAGCTCAGAAATGAAGCTAGTTTTGATAGTGCTTTTATTATTCCATGGTAAGATAGCAAATTAATTGCATTTGTTTTGTTTTGTTTTTTATTACCAATGTTATTGACTTTTTTTCTTGTTTTCTAGATTTTTCAGATGCTGTAAATATTCACCAGCCTCCATCTGAGTTGGTCAGAGATGGAGAACAGAGTGTGACCCTCAAGTGTGAGCAGGACAGTGATCAGATTTACTACATGTACTGGTACAGACAAGCAAGTAGTGGGGAAATGGAGTTAGTGGCGTATTCTGCTAGTAAAGATGCATCAAGCATTGAAGCTCCATTCAACAACTCTAAATACACCATGACCCGTCGAGAGCTGCGGAGAACTGAGCTGCAGATTCACCCTGCTGAGGCCAAAGACTCTGCTGTGTATTACTGTGCTTCCAGCACCACAGTGCTTCAAGCTGCTGCAGAAGCTTAACAAGTACCTCTGGAGGAAACAACAGACGTTTTGGAAGATGGGGGTGAATAAAAAAAAAAACATTAGAAGAAATATCAGAACTGCATTATGTAAAAATGAAATAATACCAGCTTAAAACAAACAAATCTATAAAAACTCCTATGTTTTTGGAGGCAGATCTGCCTGTTTGGTGCTCAGTCATGTTTCCTCAAAGCCACAAAGCTGATTTGTTCAGATAGCAGAGCAGGTGTCAGTATTGAAATATTTTTTCCATCTATAATATCACCCCCACTTCCTCCTCATGTCTGTCTATTTTCCTCTGTGATTCAGTCTGCTCGTTATGGTTTTACCATGATCCTTCATTACCCCTTGATAGACCGAAAAGGAAGTTCAGATGAGGATCTTTTACTGACCTCTACTGGTTTTATATGAAATTACAAGTTGATTATCTCATAAAACCATCCATAAAGACATTAACTATTACACTATTAGAAATTATCTTCATATAAATGTTTAAAAATTACCCTTATAAACAAACAAAAAAAATCAAAAGCTGTTCTGACGTTTATATCGTCTTTGGTGATGCTAATAATATTCAATGTTTATTGAAAATATCTTTTCATGCTCAATGATTTTCACATTCTTCAAACAAAAGCATATCGTAAATAAATCTCCCCTTTATTCTGCCATACATTATTGTCCATCTGTTCTGTTAAGATCCCAGTAGTTTGTTAACTTTACAAGAAGCATCATGGAGTTAATGGGAAATACAGTATGCAAACAGGTCTGGGATACAGTTGTACACAGAATTAAAGTGGCATTATGTTATAAAACAATATGAAATACTTTAGATGTCTAACAGAGTTCTGTTATGAAAGGAGTTTGGCAATACCTCCAAGCTTACCACGTCATCTCTAGACTCCCCCCAACATTTGACCCGTTCCAGTTCACCTACTGACAAGGACTGAGGACGCCATCTCCTCCGCTCTTCACCTGAACCTGGCACACCTAGAGGGAAAGAGCACCCATGTGTGGATGCTGTTCCTGGACTTCAGTTCAGCTTTCAACACCATCATCCCACAGCATCTGATAGGAAAACTGGAACAGCATGGGCATCAATAAACTCCTCTGCAATTGGCTGCTAGATTTCCTCACCAACAGACCTCAGTCAGTCCGGGTTGGACAGAACACTTCTGATGTTTATCACTCTAAGCACAGGGTCCCCTCAGGGCCTCATCCTGAGCTCCCTGCTGTTCACTCTATTGGCACACACGACTGAGCCCCCAGATTCACCACCAATCACATCATGAACTTTGCAGACGACACTATGGTGGGGGGCCTGACAATGACCAGGACTACAGAGAGGAGGCGGAGCAGCTGGTGGGCTGGTCCAGAGACCAGAACAACCGGATCCTGAATGTGGAGAAAACGAAGGAGATCATCGTTGACTTCAGGAAGAACCGGCCTAACCATGCCCCACTGGTCATCAACAGCTCAGCTGTAGAGGTGGTCAGCAGCACCAAATTCCTGGGGGTGCAAATCACAGACACCCTCACCTGCAATGTAAACACCACCTGACTGGTCAAAAGGGAACAGAAGTGCATGTACTTCCTGCGGTGACTGAGGAGAGCCCACCTGCCCCCATCCATCCTCACCACCTTCTACAGAAGCACCATAGAGAGCGTTCTGACCAGCTGTCTCAATGTATGGTGTGGAGGCTGCAGCGTCTCATACTGGAAGTGAGAAAGGTGGTGAGGACAGCAGAGAGGATAATCGGGGCTCCTCTTCCCTCCATTAAAGACATTTCATCTAAGCTTTGCGTATCCCGAGACATAACATCATCAATGACCCCTCACACCCCCATGGACTGTTCTCCCTGCTGCCCTCTGGGAAGAGGCTTCGCAGCATCCGCTTCATGTCCAGTAACAACTTTTTCCCCACTGCCATCAGACTGTTGAACTGTTAAACTCTAAACTGAACTTTCCATCACACTTGCAACATTATTTTTGCACTACCAATGTGCTAACCTTTTGTATTCCTTTTAAATAGGACACAACTCCTATTGCTTTTATTGGCAAAGAAAGAAAACCTGGTTAGAATTTATAGAAAAGGGGAGAGGGGTAAATACAGATCCTGATGTAAGGGCAGAGGTTTTTCCAAGCATTTTGCTTAGAAAGATGTGCAACACTTTTTCTACATGTGCAGAGCTGTTAAGGCCAACCCCAGAAGAAAGTTACTTATAAATGTTAAAGAATTGTATTCCAACTTAAAAAAATGTTTCTCCTTTTATCATACCAGTTGTTTATTTTTTTAAAATCCAACTAGAAATCATAAGAGCAACACTTTTTTTGCTCATTATATACATCAGTGGATGTTTCTATCTTTTAAATGATTGGCTGAAGAGTCGTGACCAGCAGAGATGTCACTTCCTGTCAGTAACTTCAAACAAACAAAAACAAGCAGCAGCTTCCTGTCCTCTGTTCTGCCTTCTTTTCTTAGCTGTCACAGAAATAGCAGCAGCCAGCTTGGAGCTGCTCCACCGTCAGTCAGCCCAACCTGCACAGCTGCTCCCACAGAGACACACAGAGATGGAGGCTGAGATACGGAGAGAGGGGCTGGGGGAGGAGGAGAGGGGGGAGAGAGAGAGGCATCAGGTTTTTGTATGATGCTTTTTTACCGTGGGGACAGGGGGCCACGGTGATACAACCCCATAGAGCCGCCGTACAAAAACCTCCTTCCATTAACATCCATGATGTAGGCGAATGAGTGGATCTCAGAAGGCCTCAGAGAGCAGGAAAAGGGTCAATCTGAAGGTGGGCAGGATGGAGGCTCAGCTTGGCCTTAAAAACCGATCTAATATGTAGAATCTGGATCAGAAACATGTTTTAGAAAGAGATGTTTGACTTTGTTTGTGGAGCGTTTGGATCATGGGTTCCTCATCTAAAACATTACAGCTTCTTTAAACATTATGAAGCTCATCCTGCATGTTTAACCCTCCCTGATAATCTGTGTTATTACAGCATGTCTGAAGAAGTTGATTCTGGAAAGATTTTGGACTTTTTAGTCAAGAAGAGAATCAGTGTGACTCTGGAAGTGAAGCTTACTTTGGAAAAGGAACAAAACTAACAGTTCTGGGTAAGTGCGAATTTTAACACGTTCAGTTCAACAGATTAGATGTGAATTTAATGGAAATCTTAGATTAAAGAAATAACATATATTGGGAGTTAAAAAGCTGTGATGTATTAACCTGAAGTTAAAGCACTGTGACCTACACTGATCCTGCTTACTTTGGTGGAGGAACCAAACTGACAGTTTTAGGTAAATATTTCACTTTAATACAGTTTTAATAGATCCTGCTTTGATTAAAAATTCAGTCCAGAAGAATCTGTCTCTAAAGGTCTTTGTAAAGATAATTGTGGTAGAAAAACAGTTCATGTTCAGTATTGCTGCACTGTGACAATGCTGAAGCTTACTTTGGAAAAGGAACTAAACTCACTGTTTTGGGTAAGTTGGACTACTAACATGCTCAGTTGGTTAATAATTCATCAAAAGTTTCCCTTGAATCAAACTAGAATGAAAAGTTGTTCAGTTTTAACATTTAATATATTGAGCTGGGCTGAAAACACTGTGAACTACGGAGAACCTGCTTACTTTGGCCGGGGAACCAAATTTACAGTTTTAGGTAATTATTTTTGCTTTATTACTGTGTTTTAATAGGTTTCATTTAATAAACCTTAATACTTTAGGATCATTGGGTCAATTATGGTAATTTTATTATAAATCTGACTGTTAAAGAGGTTCATGTTCAGTATTGCTGCACTGTGACAATGCAAACGAAGCTTACTTTGGAAAAGGAACTAAACTCACTGTTTTAGGTGAGTACTGATTTAAGTAAATCCTTATTTTAACCCATAAAGGTGATTAAATTAGCAGCACTTATGCAGGTGTTTCCAGAGTAAATTATATTAAATGTTTTTTGATATGAAGCTGAAGCTCTGTGGTGACAGAGAAGCTTATTTTGGCCAGGGAACAAAAATGACGGTTCTGGGTGAGTAAAGCCTACATAAAGTTAATCAGAGTATTAAAATTACATTCAGGGGATGATTATTGAACATTAAAGCATTTAGCTGTTTTTAGCTGTAAAATTACATTAATGAACAAAGTAAAAGCTGCCTGTTGGAGTGTTTTATACACTGATCCTCTGCACTGTGCCACTGGTGCAAGTGAAGCTTACTTCGGAGGAGGAACGAAATTAACAGTTTTAGGTAAGAGTCATAAACTTTATTATTTACCGTAGACAAGATTTTATAAACCCTCATTAATCTGAGCAACTATAGAAATATATTTAATGAAAGTTTAGCTGCTCTCGAGCTCCTTGCTACCAGAGCTTTTTGTTCTGAACATTAACTGCTGTGCCAACTATGAAGCTTATTTCGGCCAAGGAACAAAACTGACTGTTCTGGGTGAGTAAAGCCTCCAAATCTGATTCCTTTAAAAGCAGTCAAAGCTGCTCTCTATCCTGTAAAGTCTTTAGATTTATTTCAAACTTCATTTGGGTTTTAAACAGTGAAAAGTTTGTTTTGGTGAAAGCAAAGAACGATGCATGATTTAAATAAACAAAAAAAAAAACTGAACATGAACTAAAAACTAGAAATTAATACAATGAGGCAAGAAGAACTTGGGGTTATTTTGAGGACTGATCTGGTGCACTGTGGCTTTGGTACTGGCTCTGAAGCTCATTTCGGAGCAGGAACAAAGCTGACCGTCTTAGGTAAGAAACACGTTCAAAAACAACATAAAAAACAAACTCAGCTCCTAGTTTACCTGATAAACTCAAACTGTGTCAGAAAGTTGCTTGTTTAACTGGATAAAGGGGTCATTTCAGTCTGTAAAGAGGACTAACATTCAGCTTTATGAGCTTTTCAGTCTTGCGTGGTATAAAATAACTTTATTTACCTTAAAATAAACAGAAGAGCAAAGGGAAATCAGCCTGTTGAGCTGTTTCTATCACTGATTCAGCTCACTGTGCGAGCACGTCTGAAGCTATCTTTGGTGGAGGGACTAAACTGACTGTTTTAGGTAAGAAACTGTTTCCACATCTAAATAACTGCATAGTATGACATGCATGCTTTACAGCTCGACCAGTATTATAAATACTAATAGAACTTTAAAGCTGTTAAAATGCTCAGACCTAGTGTAATAATATTAATGCTAAGTGAAGCTAAACAGATTTGTGCAAACAAATCATTGAGTTATTTGTGTGTAATAAGTTGAGAGACGTCCTGAAAAGATCTTAAAAATCAGAAAGACAGTCAGCATCTTTTCTGAGAGCTGTAGGAAGAGTTTGTGTTGCAGCCTGGAGTCTCTGTGCTCCTTCGGCAGCGAAGCTTATTTTGGAGCTGGAACCAAACTCACTGTTTTAGGTAAGAGAAAACTGAAATATAACCAACATCAAACTGTTTCATTATTTTGACCAGGCTTTGTTTAAAACACAGACACCTAATGCATGAATTCAGCTTATCCTGAAAGCTCTTTCCATGTAATCAAGTCAGATATGGGCAGCCACTAAATGTTTGGCTCAAAGCCCAGATTATTAGTCTGTCAGCCAGTTTTTATCAGCTCTCTGAAACACTGTGACGACCAATACTGAAGCTTACTTTGGAGCTGGAACTAAACTCACCGTTTTAGGTAAGACCAAATAGATTGCAGTGGGAGAAGCTTTCAGTAATGGATTGTGTATGCAGAGTTTTTATTTTCCTAAAATCACCAGTAATCCATTAATCCAGGTTCGTGTTTACATAAATTAATCTCTTCTGTACTGTTTTGATGCCATTCTGGGCTGGTTTGCACAGAAAGGTCATTTGTTGGTAACAGAAGAAAATAGAAAGTCTTTCGTTTTTACAGCTGCAGTTTTTTCTGCAGCCATATCTCACTGTGAACAACTTAAACCCTGCTTATTTTGGCAGAGGCACCAAACTCACTGTTCTAGGTAAGAAACAAAGAAAATTAACTTTTTTATATTATATAATATATTATATTAATCTTGAGGAGTGACTGGAAAGAAAAGAAATACACTGATGAGAGCTTTTAATGGTATAAGGTCTACAGTATGAGGTGATGAGCATAATAGGATGTTTTTTAATTAAAACTTCTAAAACAGGCCAGAAAATTATTTTCGGTATAGCTGTCTTGATGCAAACGGTTCAGTTTTTCAGAAAAATAATACAATGTAGTTGTTGCTTTGCACTGCTGAAAGCTTCAGCAGCTTTATCTGCAGCTGTTTCTCAGTGTGAGCGGCTATGATCCTGCTTTCTTTGGTCGAGGCACAAAACTCACGGTTTTAGGTAAGAAAACAGACTCTTAAAAGGAACTTTTTCTCTAAACTTTACTAAGAAGAAAAGGGCTGGAAAGAAAAAAAAAAGCTATAACCAAAACAAGCCAAAGGCATCCAAAACATCCAAAAACTTTAGTTTTTTTTTTTATTTAGGATCTAAACAAACATTAAATATGAGTTTTTCTTTAGGCTGCTCCATGTGGTTTGGTTTAGTTAAAATAAGAAAAAAAGGCAGCATTTAGCTCTCAGTGCTGAAAGCTTCAGCAGCTTTTCCTGCAGCTGTTTCTCAGTGTGAACAACTATGATCCTGCTTACTTTGGTCGAGGCACAAAACTCACGGTTTTAGGTAAGAAAACATACTCTTAAAAATCTTTAAATTCCCTTTGAGGAAGGGTTCTAGAAAGAAAAAAATGTTGTAGCCATAAGTAAAACTTGCAATGTTTTGTGTGGAACAAAGTATTTGATTACTGTCAGTAATTTCTTTATTTATATCTTCTCAAAGAGGCTGAAAACTTATCTTTAGGATCATGAAAAATGTTTTTATCACTGCTTTAGTTTGGCTGCTCCTTGTGGTTCAGCTTTAGTTAAAATGAGAAGAAAAGGCAGAATTTAGCGATCAGCACTGAAAGCTTAAGCAGCTTTTCCTGCAGCTGTTTCTCAGTGTGACCAACTACGAACCTGCTTATTTTGGCAAAGGCACCAAACTCACAGTTTTAGGTAAGAAAACAAGAAATTCACCTACTTATTATTTGCAAAACTGTCTTCCTTCAAAAACAAATTCAAAGTTTACAGTTTTGTTCTGTTACTACAACTAAATTGATCAAGGGACGGATCTGGTGAACTATAACTAGAGGAAGCTCATTCAGTAACATTTGTTTTGTTGGTCCTTCAAAGTACAAACTTAGAGGATTTGTGTCATTAAAGCAAAGTTATGGAGAACCTCAGACGTCCTAGATCTAAATCAGTTTTATAACAGCAGCTGAGCTCTGTGCTCCGGCTCATATCCTGCTGAATTTGGAGCTGGAACCAAACTAACAGTTCTTGGTAAGACTATCTAAGAAAAAAATTTAAAATTGCTATAATTAGTGTGTTGATATGTAAATATGTGGCTGTTTTCATGTCATAATTCCGGGATTTGTCTGTTTAAGAATGAAAAAGCAGTTTATATTTGTGCTTATTTTTTCCTCTTCTCTTTTTAGTTCTGCACTTATAAATATTAATGTTTCATAACTTTGTTGCTTGTATGCCTTTATAGATCTAAAACTGGCAAAAGTGAAATTTAGACATTAAATTCAAACTTTAAAAAGATGAGTTGATTAAACAAAATGGAACAAGGTAGAGTAAACAACAGATCAAATGTTTGGAAGCTGCTTCTTCCTCTCAGTCTTACACCAAGCGTGTAAAAACCTATTTAAGTTTAATAATACTTATGTTTTCACTGCTTTGATTGATATGCATGGTTTTTCAGAAATGTATAGATGTTATAATTTATTTTAAGTCATTTCTGAGTAAAAGTGAACAGCAAGAAAAGTTCCACTTTGTTTTAGAAAGGAAAATATTCAAAAGGGTCTCAGTTATAAAAGGAATTGGTAAATACTGTATTTATTACTGTTATTAAAGTGAGAGGAGGATACTTTGGAAGAAATGAAATTAAATTAGGATAAAAGCAAATAATTAACTTGTTATTTTAAAATTAAGATGTTCTATATATAATATCATGTTCAGATTGTTGCAAAGTATACCAAGAAACTTGTCCTTTTTGGTATAAACATTTGGTTCTTTAGTTTGCAAACCATTTGCTCATAATGCAATGATATAATATTGAGAACCTATTAGGGCAGAGATGACAGCTCAGAGATATTGGTTCCATTTTATGACATCCATGCCCAACTCCACCACTTCCTGAACTTCCACCATCTCCTTCCTGTCCTTCATTATAGGACAGACTGATTAATACAGGTGTGTCTGGTCATGGCTACTGAGTTCAGACACACCTGACTTAGTTAGTTTGTCCAGTAATGAAAGAAAGTAAACAAAGGAGCTGGCTGAAGTTCAGGAGGTAGTGGAGATGGGCATAAAGCCCATTGGAACCCAAGAACCTCTTTATGGGGGCTGATGGTCTGTTGTAAGTACAGATGTTGTTGCATGTCTATTAACATTTATAGATAATAAAACCATAGATTTCAAGAAAAAACTTCCTTACATCAGATCAAAGTTCACATATCAAAATATTATAATCAGGTGATGCAGCTCTAACTGAATAATTGATTTTATCTTTCAGATAAAAACATTCCTATCACACCCCCTAAAGTGAAGATTTTCTACCCTTCTGAAAAGGAATGCAGAGACTATGACAGGAAGAAGAAGAGGACCCTGCTCTGCGTTGCCTCTGATTTCTATCCAGATCATGTCAGCGTGTACTGGAAGCGCAATGGAAGGAACATCACTAATGGTGTGGCAACTGACCCTGCAGCCAAGAAAGAGGAAAAAAAATACAAAATCACCAGCAGGCTGAAGATCCCTCTGGAGGAATGGGTTGATCCAAATAATAAATATACCTGCATCGTCACCTTCTTTGATGGAAAGAATTACACTGATTACAATGACAACATTGAAGGTTTGTTCCTTAAACACATAATTATCCTAAATCTATTATTTAAGGTCATGATTCTTGTTTTCTAATCATGTCCACTTTCAATTCTTCCAGTTGATGATAATGAGATAGCCATCACTCGAGGTAAACTGCAACATTTCCCTCTTCCTCACTCTAAAAGCAAATAAAATGTTGCCTTCAGCACCTTGATGGGACTGAATTAACTGATCTGTTTGTTTAACCAAACCTTCTGACTCCCTGCAGGGTATTACATGAGGGTCACCCAGAACGCCAAAGTCTCCTACACCGTCCTGATCGTGAAGAGCTGCGTCTACGGAGCCTTCGTCTGCTTCCTGGTGTGGAAGCTTCAGGTCTGTCCAAAACATCCCTGTTGGTTCTGATTAACTATCCTGTGAGTAATAGAGAGCTTCTGACACTGAGGGACAATATTCTTCTGTTTTTCAGGGAAAACGTGGAAAGCAGAGAAAGTGAGAGCTCAGCTGAAGCTTTGACTCTTCCTCCCTGTACATAATAAACCTGATCTGATGTAAACAGAACAAATGAGTCGTATACAAAAAAAAACCAAACATTTTTATTATTTCAGATACTTTCTAAGTAAATGCTTGTTTCTATCTATGTGCTCTTTAATAAAGTTGTTTTAAATAGTGTTGGATTTCTTTGTTTTCTCTTTTTATCTGCAGCTTGTTTGTACAATTATTTTAAAATAAATTATTTAGGTGTTAAAATTGATGTTTTAATATTGAAAAACAAACTTAGATGAGTGAGAATCAGACATTACTTGGAAACAGCATAGAATCTGACTAAAATGAAAATCTCATGTTGACAACAGTAAGTAAAACAATTTAACTGAAGTGTCATTTATTCCACAGATAGTGTTAGATTATATTTATAGCTGACTTCTGAGAAACAGCTCATTTTCTCTCCCCATGTACTCAGATCAAGGTTCTCTGTTTTGCAAAACAAGAACTTTTTTTCCGTTAGTTCAAACATTTTAGTAGGAGTGTGAGAGTGAGTGTGCCACATGAGAACAGGAAGTCAGCATTGTCATGTGTGCACAAAAGAAGGTCAGAGATGCTGGGGGAGGAAGATGCAGCGAGAGCTGAAAACTGCAGAGGAGCAAAGTGCGACAGCGAGGAGCAGGATGTGGTCGCAGAGTAGCGTACAGCTCCGTCTCCATGCAGAGAAACGACGGAGGTGCAACCCTCAACTTTTACCGCAGCATCCGGCTCAATGAGTGCACCTGCATCCGTCCAATCAAAAAAAAAACACCCCCACACACATTCACACTGTTCATCTCCCAGCAACCAGCTGGCAAGGCTAAATTTCTGTGTCAACTGAAGCTAAAAATGTTTCTGTAAACGTTGAATTATAAACAGCAGCTGTTTGTTGTGATCGGATCCATTTTTGGGGGGAGGTGTAAAAAGTTCCAGAAGCACATGTATTTTTAAAAGAAACTGAGAAATTTGAATGTTGACAACATTTTCATGTTATATTGAATCTATACTTTGCTTTGCTTTGAGTATCATAACTTGTAGGACTCACCGACACCCTCTATAAGAAGGGCACTCTGGACTCAGTGGAGGAAGTGGCTGAGAGGAGGGTGCTGTCCAAGCTTACATACATCATGAACAACACCTTGATCTCCCTGCAGCAGACTGTAATGGAGCTGAGCAGCTCCTTTAAAGAGTTATACAACCTGTTTGTAAAAAGGAGCTCTACCACAGGTCATTTTTTTTATTTTTTTTGATCTCCTTAAATCCCCACAGCATGGCATGATCCCTACTTGTGAAATGAAGAAATTGATTAAAGAAAACCTGTCGGAGAACATGAAGCAAACTGAACTAAAAACTTAACTAAAAAAAAAAGCCATACAGGAGGACCTGCTGCTTCAGGATCTGGACAACTTGCAGTAACTGATGCAAACACATGGGTTTAGCTCTCTGGCAGAGACTCCTGGAGGAGAACATCTAACCATTAGTAAAAATACCTTAAGATAAATCGGATTAGGTTAGATGTAAATAAAGGAAATACAATGATATATTCAAGTCACACAAGAAAGTCTTAAAATCTGTTTTACTTTCTAAAGAAAGAAAAGAACAGAAGACATTAATTGACGATTAAATGCGCTTATATTTGCATTTAAATGAACTTTCCTTGGATTTCTCTTGTAAACCACTAAAACACAACCAGTTTTTGCCATTTCAAAAGAATTTATATCGCTAAAGAATATTCTTGGTTTTCTTTAACAGTTTTTTTCTTTCTTCCTGTTTTCTTCAGTTAAACAGAAACCATCTGAGATGCAGTAGAAAGATGTTTCATTTAGACTCTAAAACTGAGCCACAGAATCTTAAATAAGATATAAGATTCTGTGTATATATACTGATGTATTTACAACCCTAGATGCAGAGACTAGTAATAAACATTAATGCCCCATAAACAGAATACAGACCATGAATAAACATTAATGGTCTTTAGTCTCAGGGGCTATAATGCCCTTTGCCTCATAATTTTTTTTTTTACATTTTATTAAATTCAGAATGTTTAACTTAGATCTAATAACACAGACTAATCATTTTTGGTCAATAACAGAGATGAAGAACTAAAATCATTAAAGATTTTTAATGTCAGCTTTTTTGGGGGTTAGTTTTATGGCCATAATGTATGTTTTAAGCAGCCACTTGCCACTAATAACAGTCGTTATTAGTCACTAATAACAACAATTTAATGGTCTATCACATCCGAAACAGGTGGTTTTCACCCCCTTTAGCTTTTACCCTATGAAATCCAATTTTACAGTATCTCTTTTTTTCGACTTGACCTAAATATGATATAGAGCTCCTCTTTTTTAAATTTGTCGAAGCCTAATTTAAGATGCTTAGGGAGACCTCAGAGATTGGTTAGTTTGTTTGTTGCCATGTGAACTAAACAATTTTTCCTGCACGTCACCCTGAATGTTAGAATAGCCTCATAGAAACGGTTGCACCATCATTTTGTTGTGGAGATCCCTTTTTGCCGACAGGGAAGAAAGAGTTGAAGGGGAGATAGAAAGATTGAGACTGGAAGGCAGGTTAACTTTCCACCCTAAGCAAACAGTATTATGCTTCGGATCAAAACATTAACATAGGTGTTAGGAGTCAGAGGCAAAGCCCCAACAAAGTCTAGACTTTGTTTGATACCAGACATCCACTGACATGTTTTCAGGCTATTTAAGGCTAACAACTGATAACTAGACCTTCACAGAGTTTTAAACTGTTTCATTATAGCTGCAACATTTAGATAAGTGAAGCTTCATTTATTTCATTTCTTTATACCACTAAGTAAAAACTGATTATCATTTGTAACCCAGAGGTCTCGAAGTTTCATTGCTGATCATCTCCATCTCTTATAATTACAGTTTACTATGTTCTAATGGCTACTTCCTTCAGAATATTGTTAGAAAATAATTTCAAACTGGTTCTTACCCATTAATTTGGTATTAGTAAGGTTTACCCAATAAACCTTTGCATGCGTAAAGCTTGTGAATAACGTTTTACATATAATGTTACTCCTTTTTATTATTGTTAAAGGAAGCTTTGATCCAACTCTATTCCCACTGTAGCCGTCAGCTGCAAACACTTTATGGGGCAAGTTACCGTTATTGTTTACGGTAACTCTGTCCCTCAAGGAAGTCTAGAAGCACACGTCTAAAAGGTTTGTAAAAAAAAAAAAAAAAAAAAAAAAAAAAAAAGGCTAGTTGAAAAGTAAAACTAAAAATTAAAAGCTAAGTTAAAAAGACAAAAATGTAAGTGCCTGTATCAGCTTTAATGTTATCAGGTTATGTTGTAACAAAAAACATGTTTCTTTCACTCTGGGTGCTTTTCATGGTTTTCTAAAGAAGCACCTTTGTTATTTTTGTTATGTTTTTTTTAACGTTAGGTTAAGTAACCATTTCTGTTACTGCACCTCGATTTTTCCCCTGATAATATCTATAGTTTTTAAATGTTACAATAGAATAGGTAGGAGTAGGGTCTTGTTAATTAAAAAAAAACAAAAAAACGTTAGAACTATAAATTTACAGTCATATGTTTACATTACTGTTTTTCTATATTTATTTATTTACTATTTTTCAAGGCTGCACTTTCAAAAAAGATGAAATTGTCCAGAGAGCTGTTCCAAACGAAATGTCTTTTTGTTTTACACTTGTGTAAACAAAATGACAAATAAAATTTGTCTAAGTCTAAGTTCTGTCCTTCAAGCATTTGATTTTCAAAGTATTTCACTGAGCACCCTATAAAGAGTTAAACACTTTGTTGGGCAGGTAAAATTATACTGTCTATGACAGAAAACATTTAGAGAGTTTTATCAAAAAGAGAAGTAGAAGAAAATCAACTAATAATGGCTAAAGGACCATGAGAGTTTGCTTTTGTTGACATATACAAAAGCAGCTTTTTTAAGTTTATAAATCCTTTATTGCTGCAATTTTTAAGTCTGCTGTAGAAAAATATGTGCTGTTTTTAAAAAGTTAGAAAATAATCAAAGAGAAACAAGCTAAAAAAAAAACAAAAAAAAACCTTCACACATTTGCAAACAGAAGTAGCAGCTTTAGAGGTTAATTTAGAAAGCAGATGTTTGCTGCACACAGAGCCCACCTGTGGTAAAAACGGGAACATAAACTCAAACCAACCAGAGCTTAGCAAAATAAGTTTATTTCAAAATAATAAAAATACACAATAAAAACACACACAAAAGGTCAAACAGGTGTTGGCATCAACAACAAGTGAACTTGCAAACATTTTGATTCAAAAATAAAAGGATTTAAAAATAATGAAGCACAGGAAGCTACATTATTTTTTAGATAATTTGATTCTCTAAAAACAGAGAACACACAGTTCCAGTGATTAAATAGCTTATTTCCAGTGCCTCCTCACATCCAGTACATTAAATATGGGATGTTTGAAGTTGAAGTCTGTTGTGTTTAATGCAGACGATAATCTGAGCAAAGTGCTGACTGTAGAACAGTTCTTTTTAAGAGATAATCTGCATCGTTTCGTCCTGGTTTTGGATTCCATTTGGTGCAGGAGTTGAAAGCTGAATGCTCAGCCTATCAAAACACGTGCCGACCGACCATTCCTGCCGTTCTTTGAGGCATGCTTGGCACAGCTGGCGCAGCAGAAACCAGAGTAGTACTGATGGTCGCACAGTCGGGCGTAAACTATGAGTTTGCAGTTGGCAAGATCATTTTGGTCCACACAGCCCGGCTGCACATTACCACCTGAAACAGCATATTCAAGAAGCGGCTTTTTTTAAGCTATATAGAAGATGAGCAGGTTGGATTATGGTGACAAAAACAAACAAGGAAAACCTCCTGGAATTTCATGTTAGTTTACCTACATATTAGAGCTGATGGTATAAAATAGTCGAATTTTTCTTGCTAGAATCACAGAAACTTCCCTGATAGAGTCTTTTGGACAAAATAAAAGTCTGCAAAGACTTTTCAATGTTACTCAGTCTCTTAAATTAGAGAGTTTTTCTCTAAACCATCACAACAAAAGTGGAGTTCCACAAGGCGCTGTGCCAAGTCCTCTGCTATACTCTTTATTCGTCTCTCTTTTTGTTGAGAAAAATATAGAAATTTGTAAACCCAGATCAGTATACTCATTCATTAACATGAAGAGTCAACAGTTAATCTTACTTTTGATGAACATTAAGTTCTTTTACAATATTGTAGCTATATATAAATATAGAGACTCTGAAGTAATTTAATTCAGTCACTGAACTCAGTAGGTGAATTAATGGAAGCATTCTGGTTGTATTGCTGTTTGCTGTAGAAACTTTAACCTTCCAATTCTATTAATGCTCCTTAGAGTAGTTAATTTTTTTTAAATACTTTGTTTAATGCCTGTTTAAGGTATTTTCTAAATAAACTTTTTATTGATGATGTTCTTGTATTTCTGTTTGGGTTTTCACCTATAGCATGTTAGTAATGACTGTATGTACCGGTATTAGTATTTAATGCAAAACAACAGCATGTATAAGAATAACCAATGTTCTCACCTTGTGCGTCTTTAAGGACCCTAACTTCAGCTGTGGCGCTCACAGAATATATGCCTGTATAAGCATTACAGGTGTAGGTTCCCTCATCAGAGGCCTTTACATTATGTAGGATCAGGCTGCCATCAGATGAAACCAGGATATTATGTCCGTCTGGACGCACTGGCACTCCATTCCTGTTAACACATTAAAAGGTTGTTAGACCCCTTTAGATTACTGACACTCATTAACTCCCTGGATTTGAAGCAAACTTGTTTTGTCAGCTTTATATGGAGGGAATTTTGTTCCATTATTGTTGCAACAAAGAACCTGTTTTGTGCATAAAAGTTTAACATAAAATGCAATTCTGAACTGACACTTCAAAACATGTCTTGATTAACAAAAAGAAGTTTAGAGTAGTTTGCTTTTAAATGAGATTTTATATTTTTCTTTTTTTGCATTTTGCAAATTGCATTCTTCTCAATTTGTCTTTCATAGATCAGGTTTTCTTCACTTCAAGCTCTCGCTCTACAGTTGCTTTTGACGTCCGCATTGACCAAATCTTTTTTATCATTTAGAACAGCAATCACAAAATTATCCTTCTTAAGTTCTTTGACCTTTTTCACTCTCAAAATAACTGAGGTGTTCTCTTAAGGCTTCTTAATTTTACAACACTAAACAATGAGGTCCAGTAAAATACTACATTTTTTAAATATTTCATGTATTTACCAACCCTTACCTGGACCAGCCTATGTTGACGTTATCTCCAGACACCACACACGGCAGCAGAGCCGTGCTGCCTTCAGACACCTGAACATTATTGGGTGCTGTAGTGATCTTCAGGTCAGCTAAGTAAAAAATAAATCAAGAATAAAGCTCAACAGAACGACGTTTAAACCTATCAATTGTAAGTCTTCTAATAAAGACAGAATCTTATCACTTTTAATTAAAAAAGTTATCAAGTATCAACAAATAGTTATTTACTGCCCCCTGGTGGAGGATATATGAAAAACTATCACTACACAAACAGTGCTTGTCTGTTATTAGGTTGGTGGTAAAGATGTGAAAAGTGTATTACTTTGGACCCTGAGTTGCAGCTGCCTCTGCTCCAGCTGCTGTTGGCTGGCAGCTGTACATGTGTAGACCCCAGAGTCTGCAGCTGTTAGGGGGCTGATGATCAAGGCACCGTCACTGTGATGGGTAATCCTAAAACAATGTATATCAGAGGAGAAATTCAGTTTACAAACTTACATTGGTGAGATTAATAAACATGAGTTGGATTTGTCGTTTTAGAAAACAGAGAAAATATGCAGTTAATGTGTCAGAAGTGAGTCTTCCATAATAAAGAAAGCTTTTTCTAGTATATTCAGCCTTGATATTCAAATATACATTTTCACTTTAGTGCATAAACAACATCCTATCCCATAGGCAACAGGGTCAAACACCGGGTACAGATCAGGGGTCAGTTTCATGAATGATTCATGAATCA